GGCGAGCAGGCCTCTGCTGAACGCGGCGCGGTGGCTTTCTCTGAAGTCACTATGAACCTTGCCTTTTATGTCATTTTGCTATGGCTTCTCTAATCCTGTAACTGCTTCCTTAATTGATTCTCATTGAGTTAAAGCCCATGCAGCTTTGCTAGTGTCCCTTTGCAGTAGCTCGGTTGCTGAGGCAGCAGTGGTAGTGGATGTGGGGTTTTTTTCATTTTATTTTTTCATTCTTCCTTTACTTAATTCGGAGACATTACTAATACAGTGTTTAGGACATGTCTTTTGGTACTATGTAGTATTGAGATCCGCATCCAAATTTGAAGCGTTCCTGTTATTTTTAGTATATTGGAGGTTCCTGTGATGGAACATGTTTGATGAATGCTCTATCTAGGCAAATCCAACTCCCCATCTTTGCAACAGTGATTCTTGGAGATGTCTTTTCCACCATCAAACCTTTTGGTCTTTGCATGAAGATACTCAGTCTGGAAGGACTCGGGCAAGTGGCCAGCTCTGCTTGTGCAGCCAACCCTCACGCATGGGATCCAAGATGACTTGTGGCAGATGCAAACACGTTCCAACTGGGTCCTTGCAGACTCCCTTTGGATCCTGCAGGGTTTATTTACCCAGGCTCTATGCCAAACATCCACAGCCATCCTGCTGTCAGGCCAGCTGAGATCTGTTGCTTTGGTGGCCATGCCAGGCTGTGGAGCCTGCCCGGTGTGAGGTGCGTGGCCCTGGCTCCCACACTGCCTGCAGAACCATGAGCTCCAGGCACCCCTTGCAGGTATCTGACTACATGGCTCAGCTTGGGTGGTCAGGGCTCATTAGGTCAACCATAGTTTCAGGTGCATTAGACTTGAGCTTGTTTCTATGGGGCTGTTCTTTATATTTTTTATTTTATTAGTTGTTGCTGTTGCTGTTGGCTGTTTTAACTCTCCAGGACCTGAGTTCTGGGGACGCTCCTTAGCTTGGTCAGCCCCAGGCTCAGGTGACGCTTTCTGCTCCCGCAGCCTGGCATGCGGTGAGCTTCCCAGGAGCTTGGCAGCAGGAACGCTGGGCGGGCTTAACAGAAACCAGCTCCAGGCTAGCACTGGATCAGAGCTGCTAGACTCTCTCACAATCCCAAATTTACTTCAATTTTCCAGGCTGTAATCCACAGCATGTTCTGTAGTGAAACAGGTGTTTCCACTGTCTACGTCCTCACAGCCCATATGAGCCAGGGCAGCGGAGGGATGACCGTTACACCCAGAGCATGGAGTACTGAAGGGATGCTGCTAATTAGAGCTCATGTTTTGGTTTCTTGGAGAACACCACGGCCATATGTATGCTGAAACTATACTTTTTAACAGTTCTGGTTGTCACAGAGGTAACCAGCTTTTCTGTTTGGATATAACAGTGTCTTCTGGAAAAACTGTGATGCGCTTGGAGTAATCAAGTAATTTTAAGATGATATGCTTGATAGTTGGTGAGTTGTTAGAGTACTTTAAAAGGGTTTTCTCGCAATACTCACAAATGCTTCCTTCTGCAGTACTTGCAGAATATTACCTTTTCCAAGCAAAGGGTCATACAGTTCTTTTGTAATTTATTTTTATTATTACTATTTATATGCAGGTGCAGCTGGGACAAGCAGACATAAAATGCCCGATCACGGAGTGCAGCGAACACCTGGATGAAACAACTGTCCTCTATAACCTGCCCCACGACGACATCATCAAGTATAAATATTTCCTGGAACTCAGCCGCATTGACTCCAGCACCAAGCCGTGCCCTCAGTGCAAGCACTTTACTACCTTCCGGAGGAGAGGCCACATTCCTACCCCTGCCAAATTGGAGAACAAATACAAAGTGAGCATGCTTGCCAGAGCTATGGATTAGGTAGCACAGCAAAAGTAGGTCAGCATTTGGTGGGCATTCAATGACCTTTCTTCCATTACTGAGACTGAATGTAAGCTGGGATTAAGAATCTGTAATATGAATCATTGGTTAACTAGTTAATTCTCTTCTAATAATTCAAATAGTTGAGTTGTATTCCTTATTTCTTGTGGCAGGCCAAAATTGTGCCACTTGCCCATTTGAAATTAAGTTTACTTTCCTCTTCAAAATGCAGCCAATGCAGTCATGATGAGAAGAGATAGGGAAGGGGAATTATATCTATAATTGATAATTTTAGACACGCAACCGCAGCAAAGAACTTGCACTTTCTCTGAAGCTGCAAGTGAATGGGTTCTGGGTTTTTGTGTGAAGAGATACACACTCTTAGTATCTTCTAAGTCAGTACACTCCTTCCTTAAAGTAGAGCTCTGTCACTCTTTGGATTTCTTCAGCCGCTTACTACAGCTTAGGTGTTACTGTAGTTTTACAGCTCGGCACAGAAAACTTGAGAAATAGAGCAAGAAAACCCTTTTCCACGGCCTTTCTTGTAGTATAAGATTTTCTTATGTCAAGATTTAAATTAAAGATTAAATGCACAAAAGGTTACTGACAGAAGCTTTGTGCTTCTGGAGGTCTCTCAGTTGCAGACAGGTTCTATCGACAATGTCATGGTCACAGAGCAAGTCTTTTAGCCCCTTCCTTATGCATTTTCATTCCTGTTTCATGGGTATGTATTAGTTTTCCATCCACTTATTAGATCTGTTTTGATTAATTTCATTACTGAGCTGGCCTTCCCTTGACAAACCAGTTTTCCTCAAGAGGAATTTAGATGATTGTTTAGATAACCCTAATTACAGCGTAAGAATCAACCTTGTACAGAGATTAAAAGGTAGAAGGTTGTGTATCCAGTGGAGTTGAAAGCTTGGTGGAGCTAACCCTGAGTTATGAGGTTCTCACGTACATCAGTGCAATGTATAAATTACACGCAAGCAGCCACCAAGTCTATTGGACTTCCTGTTGTGGATGTTTAACCTCTTACACAGAGTTGGAGAAACTCCAAATTGCAGGTGAAATTCCCTCTGCCTGCAGCCATCCACCTTCACCCATCCTATCCACTCAGCATTCACTCAGGTGAATATATAGACGTGTAGGATGTGTAGTCTGTGGTAGGTAATGAAGTGTTGTAATAGATCTGCTGTAGCCCCTCGTAAGGTGTCAGATGCTGTTACTGTCCCGTTGATACCTGCTGTGGGTCGTACAGCCGTTCTGTAACGGGCCTGCCAGCTTCGAGTGCTTGTATATGTTCTTCTAGTCAGAAAGTGGGTCGTGCTGCCCAGCAGTGCTCTCTTAGGAATTAAAATGCTGTAGTTAAAATGTTCCCAGCACTACCCTAGAAATCATAAGCAAAGAAGGAAGTTCAGCCTCCGTCTGGTGCATGAAATAAAAAAGGTCAGAAGCAGTTTTCTGGTCCTGTGGTGAAATGTGGTGGCTCTTATGCACTGAGCTGAAGTCTCTTCCAGGGAACAAAAGATGGCAAAGTACTTTTTGAGCTGTGCCTAGGTGTTGTCTGGAAGAACACTGAGGTGATTTTAGCCAAAGGTATGACCAGAAATGTGCTCGCAGGCAGTCAGCATGCTCATAGGCCAGAGCTCCAGTCTGCTTCCTGGACGTGCGTTGTTTACTAGCATAGACGCAGTTTTAGTGACTAATTTCAAGTTTCGCAGCTGGGATGAGGTTCAGAAAAAAAGGCCGCTTTCTGAGATTGGACATGTGTGAGTAATTACATACACAAACTCCTGTTGACCATTATTATCTCATAGTTTTTGTATATTCTCACGTGATTTCTTTTATAGTGTCTTGCCCTGTGGCTTGAATTATAAGATCTTCGCGAGGTAAAGACTCATTTTCTTCTGCAAATAGCATAGGAGAGCTGACTGAAGGCTGACAGACTTGCATATTTACATGCAAGCAATATAAATAATAATGGCATCGGGAGAATTCTGAACTAAGCATCGATACTGAAAGAAAAACGTGAATTCCCTATGTGGGAAAGCGCACACAGAAATGTCCTAGTGGGATCACTGTAGAGAAGGACTCGGCACCAGTACCCTTGTTCTTCTGTACACCATAACATAAAAACGCTTGCTTCAAATCCAAGAGTATATTTGAACAGGTATTTTTAAAATGTGATTAATGGTTCTGCAGCACTTGGCACAATATTGTACGTTTTCCACATATCTCTCCTTACCTCTTTAAATTTAGATGTTGAGATTGTTAGCTTGATTGGTTTTCTTTGCTATTGCTTCTTTATGCCTTCTAAACTGATGTAGCTGCTAAAAGACAGGTTGCTAATGTTGCTTTCCATTTTTAAGGTCAAAGTCTTATTATGCTGAGCCCAGAAAGTTAGCCAGTGCGCACTGGTTAGAAGAGAAGGAGGGGAGAGAAGGGGAAGCTATAACCTTGCTATCCAAATTTTCCTCTGCTGTTAGTAACACTTAGTACAGCACAATACCGTTGTGTGGATATTCAGCATCCTGCCTGAAATATTCATGTTACTAGTGGATTCAGCCCTTCCCTCGATAACATGATCTAAACTGGGAGTGTGTGCCTTGGTCACTGGCAAAATCCTAATAAACTTTTGGTCAAAGCTGGTATGCCCAAGTACAAGAAGGGAAATGGGCAAAAAATTAAAAATTAGTGGTTCAGCTCGTACATGTGAAGCATATACTGCTTTTACTAGAGTGACTATGTTTCCTTGTTCCGTGAGATTCTATATTGCTTGTTTTTTTATCTTCTCCAAGCCCACATTGTTTCGACTTTGGCTCCCTGACCCTGCTGTGAAGAAACAATTCTTGATTCTTAGGCAACATTTCTGCCTTATCAGATGGTGAGGTTTCTAATAAATTTGTTTCCTTTACTTCAGTTGAGACACACACATCATAAAAATATGAGAAAATCTGAATTTAAGTGCTTAGCTTCTGACATGTAAATGCTTTTTCAATGCAATTTTTAAGCTGCCTTATTTTCGAGTATCGAAGAATTTCTCAAACACGTTGCTCTACATCTAGTAGAAAATAGTATATACAAAGATGCTGTGATAGAACAGATGTGCGTAGTTTATATCAATGAGATTCACCGTTTTTTTGGATCGAATTTTACCTTTGAATCGAGGATGTCTTCATGGCTGAGGCTCTGCATGGCTCTAGTCTGCCATAAACCTTGGCTGCTCTGAGCATAGTGTTTTTGCCCTTTTTGCTCGGGGCTCTTCATTTCTGCCCACTTGCTTTTTGCCCATGTGGATGTTTTGGTATCACATTGGAGGCTGGATGAAGGATCAGCCCTGACAGGAAACACTGTTTGTTTGTCCTGGTGCTCATTTTCAGCTGGTACAAGAGAGGGGAATGTGCTGGTGAGGAGCAAGGAGCAGCTGTTTTGGCAGGAGCCCATATTTATTTGGGAATAAAAAGACTGTGTAGGTAGAGCTTGTAATTTATATAATGAGTGAGCTCCACAATTAATCCAGCCTGCCTATTCTGCAGCTAACCTTCCATTAAGCAGGAGAAAAATCCCATTAATCTTCCTGTAGCTTCAGGTTCTTGGAGTTATTTTGGATAGGAAGTCAGCTCTGCTAACGTCACAGAGAGCAGTGGTGCGTGTTGTTGTTAGCTACCAGTTTTGAAAGCTCTTTTTCTGGGAGGCGGGGAAAATGGTAGTTAGACTCTTTGCTGTAAACTAAGACTATGGAAAATGTCAGCCTCAAAGGGCAGTGCTGCAGAAAGTGGAGAAGCAGAAGGGTTAGTATGAGAAGTTGTGCAATCTTTTCTATTTCCAGGGAAACTCGCCTCTGGATGGCAGAAAAGTTTGTGTATGTAGCCTCTCACTTCTGATGGACTGAAATGAAAGTCAAAAGAAATGGAAAATATTTACCTGAGAAAAAATGTATCTGGAAAAAAAAAAAAGGGAGAAAAACACTAGATGCAGTTTGTCTGCTTTGCTGGGCGGTGATATTTTTACTGCTTTGAGTTGCACAAAAATAGCCTTTCTGTGTGCATGTTGTGATGATTTCATGCACTGATACTGAAGCATGAAGCAGATCATGTGTGACTTTGTTTTTTTCTTTT